ACAGTATTGCTGGCAAGGGATCAGTAAAGAATAATGGAATGAGCATTAACTAACTTCAGTTAACTTTGTGGCGAATTCATGTACCTATAAGTATTAAGAATAGGGATACCATTACGATATCCCTTTACTATTACTTTCGAATAACTAAATTTAACTATTTAATGCTTGCTCATAATCTTATACCCACTAAACATGTATATTTAAAATCATGACTACTGTTCGTTTAAATTTTACCTGTGACATATGATACTATATAGATATATGTTATTTTATTCTTTTGCTACTACATATACGAGTATCTAAAGATTTATTTGAAAGCAATTTGCGTCTAGATAATAGACATCTATACAAATAAACAAAATAGAAATGTCTTTATTGTAATTTGAAATTAACAGCTTTTCACTAAATGCTTCTGAAGGTATGTAAGTACGGTACTTACCTACATCAAAAAATAATTATATTTCTGATAATTTGTTCTTACTAATCACTGAAACGGCTGGACATATTTTAACAGGAATTTCACTCGAAGATAGCAAAGCAGTAACATGGGCTACACTAATTTATAAAAAAAATTCTATATTATATTATAAAAATTCCAATGAAAACAAGGGTAATTTTAAAACATTTTACTAGTATTATTTAAATGTATTGAGACGGTATTAGGGTATTAGGACTATTAGGTATTCCCCAAAGACGTAACTAGATAAGAAAGTATATAGATATCTTGTATACGGTTACTAGATATCTTTATACTAATTTTTAATGGACGAATAAATAAGAAATTTAATAGGTTCTCTGATCACGCTCTTACAACATGAATTTCAAGTAGATATAGGAACTGAGTGTATTGATAACAACGATGAGGATGCATTAGATACTAAACTGGAAAACCTCACTCTTCTAATCTCAAATGAATATTGAATCATGGTGTACAGTACAGATATTTCTAACAGATTAGTATATTTTTTTATTATATAATATCCGATTTATTCCATGCAAATTACAAATATAATAGCTAAGAGGTACATAATAAGAAGGTAAAAAGGTAAATCCAAAAGGTAAAACAGCTACACATTAGTACTTTAATTATATTCCAACCATACCATAAGTCGAGTAGCGTTTAACATTAATACATAATTAGTGGATTGGAACCCCAGTTATTTTCACCGCACATACGGTGTAATTGTGACCTAACGTCACGCCACAATTACAAAAACATGTCAGTATTTTGCTGACAATTAGCTACCATCGACATAGCAACCTGACACGCGTGTCCGTGCTGTGTTTAGCCTTTGTTCAAACCATGTTCGAACAGATTCATTACAAGGCTTTGGCTTAACGATATAATGTATAGATGTCTCGTATATGGTTGTTGAATTCATTCAGAATTGATGACTAAGGCTGGATAGGAATAAGGGGTTACAAAGCACTCAAATTGAATATACTCACTTGTAATACAATATAAATATACCGTCACGACCTTTATCCCCGGTGGGGTATTTTCAGCTATCAATGTTGTGATGAACGCAACACTTGTTATGCACACATTTCGTTCGTTCACATTTGAATACAGTGTGGCTAGTGGCGAATATATCGCGTTTCTCGGATTACTTCTATGGTTGATATCGGGGTTTCCTTCACCGGAGAATCAATCAGATATATAAACACACAATTTTTATATATCTGATTGATTCTCCGGTGGTGGCCTTCACTCGAAGTTTGGTATGTTGGTTGGTTCGTTCATAGTATCATCGAAAACCATTGTCTAATAGGTGACGAGAAAAATATTAAAATTGTTAATTTTGTTGGTAATGTTTTACTTTTTGATCAGAAAATATTGGAGTTGAACATTTCACAAAGCAGGTTGCAGCATAACATAAATTAAGTGTAAATGACTTGGAAGCTCCTATATTATTTACGCATTAGTCTGATAAAACATTCCATTTGGCTCGGAATTTATTACATCCGTGCGAATTAAAGAACTACCGTACATATCTACTCATGATGACTATGAATGAAATACAGGGTAGGTACTAGACAACTTAGACACTCTCTTGTATCACTCATTAATTCAGGAAAAAATAGATGTTAGTGTGTATTAACGGATATTAGGTAACAAAATTTTTGTATTATGCAGATTTTCCAAAATAAGCAATTTCTTAAACATACAGAACCAATATTTTATGGTAATGTATGAAGTCCATTACTAATATGGATTTCATACATTACATACATATCAAAAATTTATACTATGTACTTTCTTTACTGGTACTGGTACATTTTTCAGAATGTAAGATAGGCTGCTACCCAATGCTTGATTGCATACGATAGTAGCATGCCTATTGATTGTCTATTATAAGTATATAGGTATTTTACTGATACATATATTTTTATTAATATATTTATTAAATATACCTCATATTACTATTACAATTGAGTTCGAATCGATCATATATAACACCAGCATTTGTCATCATTTCAATTTTATTTCGATTCCATCGCTTTTGAAAGACATTGTCTATAAATTGTGTATTATATATACCACAACCCAGTGTGTTATCATTGGAATCAATCGCCAACCGGTCAATAATTTCAAATCGTAACATAACACATAATTACGTTGCGATAGATTGGTGTAATTTTTACGCCCGTTTGCATCGTCGTCATTTTCTGAATAGTGGTTTCTGAGTAATTGACGCTGCGTATGTCTCCGTTCCCACGAGGCTCGCGTTAAGGGGAGTGTTATCCTTATCTAAGTATATATATATATATATCTATTTGTAGGTCTACAGCTATCCTAGGTTGTGTAAGTCGACTATTTAATAGTAATAAATTTCAAAAAATTGTGTTAAATCGATTGTGTCGATAATGTGCAGTGGTGCCTGGGCAAAAATTTCTGTTTAAGATAAGAGCTTAGTGTATACAATATTCTTATTATTATTGTAATTTGAAAAGGACCTTGTTTGATCCATATTCAGTAGTAAGTAGTATATACATATATCTATCCATATTTGACCAATTTAGGCCCTTATCTGGCTCCGTATGTATGATAGAAAACGAACACTTATAATTTTGTTGTATATCTAAATCCAAGGTTGTGTGACAAGGATATGACATTATCATCTTAAATTATTATCATATCTGATCGCCGTACCACTGTTAAACTTGCTCTGAATTCTACGATACAGGCATACCCTAGTGTGGGGTCATTCGATTATTATATTCTAATTCTATTATATTAATTTATTATGCTCAATTAGTTCATATAACATTTTTCTTCGTTAAATCTACTTACAGATACATAACCGAACGCTATTACCGCAAATTAAATAGAATATAAAATTTATAATTTTCCATTTCTTTTAACACTTTCAATTTAAAAATATTTAATCAAAAATGTGTTATTTTATTTTTTATTAGTTTTGCAATTGGAACTCCATTTTAGTCTCCGTTATAATTCAATAATCGAATTATTGAATTACTGTGTCGCTTTATTTACTGACTTAAAGAAGTATGCAGCTACATTTTAAAAAATACATCGGCGCCGTGTAATTTCTTTTTCGCAATAACTAAATTTTTGCTAGCAAAACCGTCGATACCAGAAAATTGACGACATATTTCTCTTTGCGTTGTAAATAAATAAATTATCAGTTGCATAGGTTTATCAGACACCTACCGCATTATGCAACGGTTCTAATCAAATCCTCATTCATCTGTTAGGGCACATGTAGCCAACCCACGGCTAACTTTACAATATTACAACGCATTACGGTATCGTAGCGGTTCTCTCATTTAAATAATCAATCGGTTATTAATGTCTATCGCCGGTGACGTGGCAATATCTTTTCAAAGTTACTTTACTTTCAAGGGTGCCATCGAGTTTAGATAAATTGAGCTTTTGTGTTAGGGACAATATTTCATATGCGCATATTTTTAACACAACTGGCTAATGTCTCATATATGCACGTGTACATAACGATGATGCGATTTATAACACAGTCAACGACATTAAAAATTTCTTGCTTGAAAATATTTCCATATATAACCTGAGATTGCCCGCGGGAAAATTTGGTCACTAACATCGCGACCTAAACTTTTATAATGTAATATCAATAAAATTGATGTCCTAAATCTAGCGGTTTATATTTATAACTAGCTGTTCCCGCGACTTTGCCCGCGTGGAATTTTTTTTTCTTAAATAAAAGAAATTTTCTAAAATAAAAGTAGCCTAAGTTACTCCTTGTTACATAAGCCACCTGCCACAAAAATTCCGTCAAAATCGGCACAACCATTTCAGAGATTAGCCGGAACAATCAGACCGACAGACAGACAGACAAAAATTGTAAAAAATGTTATTTTGGTGTAGGAATTACATTTACATTCATATAGTAAAATATTGTTATTTCAATATTACAAACAGACACTCCAATTTTATTTATATGTATAGATACATGTACAGCAGTGCGAAGCCGGGGAGGGTAGCTAATACATTATTAATTAATATAATTATTGAATGGATTTATAAACGAAATATGAATAAAAGGATTTATCACACAGATTGGACACGGATTTATGACACCTAGCATTAATTATATTGTTAATTTATAGTTTATCAAGGTACACTTTATAAATACGAGTCTTCGTGGGTACTCTACCCCACCTATTTCAGCCGCCAAGCAGCAAGGTTTGTAAGCTGTGTTTTTGTAAGTGGTGCTTTTGGTTGAAAAAAGGCTGTGAAATTACAGGATACTGAATTTCATTGCAATTTAGTCCATTGGTATGTCAAAGCATGAGCGGTACCTATCACGTGCATCACAGGATTTGCAATTCGTAGTGATGTTCGTAACATTTACTTACTTATCATTTACTATCAGGGGGCAACTCGGCCAGGCCAGTAGCATCTTTGCAATTTCTTACTTCTTTAGTGGAGGAAAAAAGTGGAGCTTACAACACATTTCTCTTGTGATCACTTTTATTGATTGTATTATTATGGTTTCAAACAGGCCGCTATGGATGCAAATATCTGCAAGCCAGAGTCGCTATGTCGCGTATGTGGAGATAAGGCTTCAGGAAAACACTATGGCGTCCCATCCTGTGATGGGTGTAGAGGTTTCTTCAAAAGAAGTATAAGACGGTATAAAAATCAGAAATTGATGTTGTTGTACTGTAATGAAATTTTACCATCAGGAGAACAATTTGTAATGTAATTATAAATGTTATTGGACATAAAAGAAAATAACAGTTCGATTTTAACTGTAATAATGCCAACAGAATTTTCCAATTTTCATAATCCATTTAACATATTTTTTGATGTAGTTCAATCCAAATTAGTAATTTTAATTCAGTAACAATATCCTACCAATACACGTAACATGTAAAGGGTTGATATAATTAGTAATAACGATAAAATCCGTAGGTTTGTAAACAACTGACTGTTTAAAATAAGAATAAATTTAGTGGAAGTTTATAATTTATAACTACTTTTATAATTATAGTTATTGTTAACTAAAGAATATGCAATTAATATTAACTAAATATGTAATGAAGCAATGGGACTCGTATGGTGTATTATATATATAGGTAAAAATTATAATCCCTGAATTTTGTAAGATATTTAGTAAATATTCTTGCATGCATTTTATCTTCAATTACAACTGTATAATATGTAGAATTATAATATTTTTTATTTGTTTAGGAATTTAGATTACGTATGTAAAGAAAATGGTCGCTGTGTTGTCGACGTTACCAGAAGAAACCAATGCCAAGCCTGCCGATTCTCCAAATGTCTACGCGTGAACATGAAGAAAGACGGTGAGAGAATTGTATTTGTTTTATTTTGTTGCAGTTGGTGGCTGCTTCGTTTGTGTAGATCTTATTATTATTATAAACGCGAAAGTTTGTGAGTATGGATGGATGTTTGTTACTCTTTCACGCAAAAACTATTGAACGGATTTTTATGAATCTTTACAGTAATATAGCTTATACATCAGAATAACATATATGCTATAAAATTCACGCGGGTGAAACCGTGGGCACAACTAGTATTACATAATTATGCAATGCACGAGACGCATTTTCCCGTCGGCTTGTTATTTTGCCTGAAGAAAGTCAGGTAGCACTTATATTTAAACAAATTAACCATTATAATTATGGCAGTCCACAAATGGAGATATTAATAAACTAACTATTACAATATTACCTTATCTGAGCTATTACCATGCTGGACTAGTGATTAAGTTTACTTACTCACGGCCCTGGTTTAGCTTCTGTTCTATCTACTCTTCGGATCTAACGACATCTTAAACACTTCAAATATACCTATTTTATAACAAAATTGTTTATATATTTTATTTGAGGTCCTGAAATCACAATAATAATAAAGTCGGGTGTCTGACCGCTATAATGCAGTATGACGATCAATAGCGACACAACCGAGCGCTTGTCTCAATAAAGTATTTATTCAGGCTTCCTCCTTCGCAGCATGTCTTTTCCATTAGGAGACATTTCAAGTATTTGCGGTACAAGAGTGTCAGTAAGTGGCGCGAGAGAAAAAATCGTGAGGGCACGGCTTGTCCCGACAAATCACTCTCCAAATACACACAAAATAGTAGCGAATGTGCGATTCATCTCTGTCCCTATTTAGCACTCTATTAGACACAACTCAATAGGTAGTAGTAGTACTATATAATATAAATAATCATTATGACAAAATTATAATATGACATAATTATTAGAATTACTAAAAGTTTTTTATCCAATATTCTTATAACACACTATGTAAAATTCGAATTTAAACAATCTTTAGACATACTACATATATATTGAACTGTCAACATAGGTCATAATATGTAGGTATATATAATAGTTTACAGCTCACTTCTTAGTGTTTGTTATTGTAAAAATATAGATCAATTTGCTAATGTGTGCAGTTATTCATCAACTGTTTAGGTATATTTTTATAACATTTTAAACAACGTCTATATAGGTAAATCAGGAACAATGTAGAAAAGACCCTTAAGACTATAGTATTTACGAAACAAACATGTACCTATTTATATTGAAATATAATGTAAAGTAATAGAAAAACATAACGGATTCTAATTTAAAAAGAAAATAATGCTGTTGAAATGCATACAATTTAATACAAAACATATGACCAGACCATATATCATATAAGAGAGTGTTACATAATGATTATGACTATGACATTATCAAATCATATTATTTATAAACAGGTGACACTTGATGACAATGACGTTTAGGTCATTGATGATAAGTTGATAACTGCGATAAGAAATATTGTCTACCGCACACTAGAGATTACGTCGGTCATGTATCTCATCTATACTTATATGCTAAAGATTTTATAAAAACTCCGCTCGGTTTTACAAATTTTTTAGCATAAACAGATACTCTCTTGCGTATTTCTATTGCTGAGCATAGGTATTGTTTAGAGGCTATAATTTTATTTGTTCGATAGAATATTATATTAGTAGTGAAATTACTGGACACGAGCATATTGTGTATCATTATGACAATCCGTTGCAATTACTGTATTTTTAAAATCTTTATCAAATTAACTAGACGATTTATTTAAAAGAGAAAATGAGTATACCTAAATAATACTTTGAGGACCTGAAATGGATATTGAGAAATCTGTAAATATATTCAGTCAAATTAATAACCAAAATAAAAACAGAAATATAAATATTAGATATTATACGATAGAACTAGTATTTTAAAGAAAACTTTTTAAGACATCATAGCAAGGAGACTTGACCCTTTCTAGCTGTCTGGCGGCTGTTTTATGCGAGGGTGATAGTGGTACAACAAACATGTCACAAGTCGAGTCGTGAAGCTGTCAACAGCAGCCGGCATTCACACCGATATTATATTTACATGATAATATGAAATTGATTGCGCGCGCAACTTGACAACCCCGTTGGCAATGTAACAGGGCCGCCATACCATCTATTTATTTAGATAACACTTATTTCCTAATGTGATAGTCTTGTTTGCCCACCGCTTGTAATTTTAGCCAGAGATGCAGCTTCAATTTCATCACATGATGCGGTTCGTGTATTGATAGAAGGGGAGTGATAAGGTGTTGTTTTCGTTTCATATAAATATTTGAATATAAAAATAACTATAACTTGTAACTAGTAACTGTACTTTGAGAGACTTTTTTCTATATTGTGTAACGTCTGGAAATTGAAAATCAGTATTTTTAATTATGAATAGGTATTAAAAATATAGTTTGTGAGGATAGATGTAGGTATATGATGAATAGAATAGAATAGAATAGAAAATCATTTATTCAAATAAACTTAATTTAAGCACTTTTGAATAGTCATAACAATTTGTTTTTTATCTACCACTCGTTCGGAAAGCTGTCTCATCACAAGAAGAACGAGCAAGAAACTTGTGTGTTGCTCTTTTAAATAATCCTTGTAAGTTTACATTTACAAGTCGAAACGTGTGAATACAAACTACCAACAAGCACTAATTTTTTGGGTCAAATATAATCATGCAATAAGATTAAATCAGTCGTAGTGATAAGAGCAGACCAGTCCCTACAAGCAGCACTCGTTCACGAGTATGACGGATGAGCCAGCCATCACTGCGCTCGACCATATTTTAGGGAGCCCATTGACCCGGCCCACCACGCCGCCACATGTCTGGACATTTTAGTGAACATGACTACTCATTCCACACGACCACGTCACAGCTACAAAAATTACTATATGGTAGTTACAGTATTCGCACTTTACATAAGGATGCATGCGGCAATCAATACAAAAGCCGCTACGCTATCATATATCAAGAAAGCAGTATGAAAATTAAAATTATAACGTTGTCCGCAAATAAACTTATTCTTGCTATATATTGCTATCATCTATAAATTCATCTATCTTATAATAGGCTTTTTTACATAACATTTGTTTAATATAAGATTTGAATTGCCTCTCTGTAAGATTTAGCGTAGACTCTGGCAGTTTATTATAGAATCTTACGCAATTACCATAAAATGAATTACTAACTTTGTGTAGACGGCATTTCGGTAAAATTAGCTTATTTTTATTGCGTAAGTTTCTACTTGTACAGTCTTTAAGTTTGATGATTAACGGCAATGCAAAAGTTATAAGTAGCTATTGCAAAATACTCCAACAAACTATGTTAAACGATATTTTTCGTTCAGCATAACTACGTAGATTTTTCCATAGATTAAATATATGCTGTCTCGGAGTTTCTTTGTTATTTTTCACATTATATTTATTTAACTCTAACGGTATTTTCAGCATATGCCAAAATGACTCGCTGATGGGAGATTTTTTTAGCACTTACTTAATATTATAATATAGTATTAGACACACTATTCTATTGGGCTTAGGCCTGTAATAATAGTTGTGTAAATAAAAAATATTTATCGTTATAGCCAAATTTACGTAATACCTTTTTAAATTATAGCCTATGTTTTAGTCTGGAGTATAAGCTAAGCTATATTACTGTAGACTTTTATGAAAATCCGTTTCGTAGTTTTTACGTGAAACTGTCACAAACATCCATACCTACATACAATATAATTTTCCCGTTTGTAATATTATTAAGGATATATATGTATAGTAGTAAAGAAAGTAACTCTAATCAACTAGCAGAGGTAACTACTAGGTACTGTTGTGTTGTGGGTCTAGGAAAATATTTTTTTCTTTATTCTCATAAGTGGACCAATCGGAGGATTTACCGAAATATATTTTCTGTGACTTGTTTGTATGAAAATATAATATATTTAACTTTGCTACTAAAAAATTACATTGTATACTTGAGATAGATGTACCTACTTTATGGAAAATAATAGAGGATTAAAGTTTTCTAATCGATATTTTCTTTTAATCTCTCAATTATTTTATTAATTGGATGATATTTTAACTTAATACTTATCTGAAATAATTATCTGGGTCAGGGATTCGATAACTAATATGTAGGCATATAAAAAGAAGTAGTCATACAAAAATTTAGACTCGAATTAATTCTAAATAGTAAATTATTTGAATTACCATGTTAGAGAATTGCAGTTTGTTTATTGTCAATAAGTAAATAAATGCGATATAAATTGTATTTAATTTACTGCACTGTAATACATAAAGTGTATGTACATTTATGATTGTAGCGGTACAGCATGAGCGTGCACCTCGACCAGCCGTCGCAGCACAGCATCATCTGGCTCTGCAGAAATTAGGCTACAATTTCACACGTCAACAACCTTTCTTTCCACCCGCCGCCCCTCTTACCTTCTCTACTTTCCCATCTCTGCACACATACAATGGTCTTACAAACACACCCGACTCGCTGCCGAGTGTACACAACTCGTTTCTAGACGGTTCCTCCTTTCAAGACTTTTCCAACTCGAGACTTCCCGAGTCTGCGGAAATAACACAACTCAACCCACTGCTTAGCCCTCAAGTTGGCCCATTGACTACCCTCAACCCTTTCAAAATTCCTCTATTTTCTACTGCATTGCATTATCCCGTACCACACCCGGGATGTTTTCCGACCAATATGTTTTACCCTCCTGTTATATCAACAGATAACTCCACAACCTCGGTTGAACATGTTAGAGAGAGTAAGTTTGACAATTAGTTGCTTTAATTATTACTTTTATTTTCCTTTTACTCATTGACAATAATGTTGCCTGTGGGCTAATTATGTAATTTCATTCAAAGCATTTTCGTATGTAACATATTGAAAATAACTCTGGACTTCCTAACGTTACATATCATCATCTCGCATCTACCATATTGTATATTTATAATATATACATAAGTGTCCTATCATTTAATAATTAAAATCGATTTTGTAATGGGAACATAAACTATAATTAATATGAGTTTCGTTGTAATGTTAGTCTTCGATAGTTAGGTATTTAATTATTACCTACACCAATGACAACAATTGTTAATTTTATTCAGAATCGGTTGACAGAAATCTAAAGTCACCAAAATTCCATTCATCGCTCCATAGTCAGAAGCCTGTCTCAAAGGAAGTTGAAAGAATGAAAGAAGATGAAGTCTCTAGTTCTGAGGAGGCATTCAAGATGGATGGATCAACAGAGGATTCTGGCAGACAAGGTACCAATCAACACAGTCAATGGAAAAATTTCTGAATGCTCTCAAAAAATTAAAATATTATCTAATTTTAACCGGAAAACTTTTGTATATTGTATATATTATAACTAATTACAATTCGTTTGTGAAGTAGTAACAGTGTATAGGTATAAGTCATTCTTGAGCTCTTTTTATTGTTACTTTCTTTAACAATAAAATGATGCGCTTTCTTTTAGAACTTTCCTTGAACCTGTTACAAATAAGCTATTTAATACTGAAGATATTGTATTAATACTTGAATTTACTGTCTACATTTAATTTTTCATTGACGAGTTGCAATATGTGCAACCCATTATGTAGTTAGTCTAGTACTATGTACTATAGTGACGACGCATCACTCATCAGTTTTTCAAAACTTTGAACTCATATCATGCTTTCTTTTATGTGGTATACAGTTTGGGCCGGATCGTTGAATACAGTTTTGGTTTTTATTTATGTGATGACGTTAACGAAAAGCTAGCTATAGCGAATTTTCACTGCGAATGTTTACTAATCGAACAAACTATTATCTACTCATAATTATACAATGCTTACTTGCAAAGCTATATTAAATATATTATTATTAGAGATAATGGAGTTAACTGATAACTCTATAATGTAACTCGCAAACTGGATTGCAAATTTTTACGTAGCTATTCTATTTTGACATTAGATATTTTTATGGAATAATATTTTCAGATTTCAGAAGAAAATTATTACATTTGACAGGCAATTTTGAGCCACCAGTACACGTCGTAACCAAAGGTTCGGAAATATATGTGCAGACACTGGATTGCGAAGCAAATGACAAAGATAACTTAACATTAGAGCCACAAAAAATAGTTCGTTTAGCTGAGAGTACAAAGAGGAGCCTAGATGAATTACATGTTGGAAAACAAACAAAACCTATTCGCGATACATGGAACATACCTGGTGAAGAAATTTACGATCCAGTCGCAAAACTCTTAGTAACATCGATAAAATGGCTGCATAGTGTCACATCTTTCATTCAATTAAAAAGCATAGAACAAGCAAATTTACTACATTGCAACTGGAGAGAACTTTTTTTACTAACTGCATCTCAATACTCTTTCTCCTTTGAAGAAGGTAAAATCCATTATTAAGTGAAATCTTAAACATTTTTTAGGTATCAGTACATTGACCATTACAGCATACTAAGCATTTAATTTTTATACGTATTTTAATTTTTATTTCCGACGAAGTCTACATAAGTTATTCAACATTCTTATACTATGTACATAATTATGTATACACTTACGCTAAATCTTATGATGATTTCTTAAGTCGTGAAAGTTTAAAAGAATAAAAACTCATTTCTTGAAATTTTAATACTATAAAATATGTGAGGGTTGTTAGCATAGTGCTAACAGGGATTAGTGAAAGAGGTAGACGTATTGTACCAAAATAGGTAACATAAAAACACTAAAAGAATATAATGATGCTGGAGAAGTTAATGATACGAAAAATGCATTATTCTATTTGATTTATAGGTCAAATATCGGCACAAACAAGTTCTAATCGCCCCAATATTAAACAAGAACTCACAAAACTAATGTTTCTCTTGGAAAGAATATCTCACTGTAAATTAGACAAAACGGAGTACGACTGTTTGAAATCAGCTTTGTTATTCCGAACAGGTAAATATTCTTAAATAATATATTACCTACTCGTATTATTTACTAATTATAATTAATATGTAATAAACGTGTTCAAGCAATATTCCTTAACGTGTATATGCTTACAGAAAATATATAAAAATAATAACATATATATATATATATATATATATATATATATAATTTTAATAAAAATATAACTGATCTCTGATCTATAACTGATGTACTGTCATACATGTGTATGAAAATAACTATTATTGGGAAATTTTCTGTCTAATAGAACCCAATACAATTGTTAGAATTTTTGGCTGTATCTTTCCATTTCTACGTGTTAACTTAGAAATGGTTTAGTTAGGGCAGCTTAAATTGTTTTTCACTAATGTGTTTTGTGGTAAGCTTCACTTAAAAAAAAAACTTAACTTTTTTGTTTTATATCAATCCGTTTATTTTTATATTTCTGATCGTACCATACCACGGGTAAGAAGTTGCGGGTTCAGCTATAATCCATATTTAAATAGTTATTAAGTATATTTTTTGTTTTTTATGTACAGATTCAGCCGATAATTTCTCTTCACAAATCGAAATCATTCAAGATCAAACACTGATGCTCCTACAGAAGCATTCCGCCACCAAAGATACAACGCGACTGGGACGAATTATGCTGCTTTTGCCTAGCGTTTGCTCGTTCGCAAACAAGGGTCTTCTTGAATATTTACTTTTTCCATCTTCGTCTAACGAGGAAATAAAATTAACTCTTTCACGAATATTACTCTATACATCAATGTAAAAATATTTACTTATAGGTATTACTATAACTATTATATAATTTCTGGTTTTTAAGGTTGGTGCAATATTCAAGGCCTTTGTATAGCACAGGACACTTTGCTCAGAAGAGCGCATAAATAAATGTAATCATGTGGACAAGATTTTGTGAATAAAAAAATCTCTTATATATTTATCTTTACTGATTGATCAATGTTCAAGTGGGTGCCGACGATAATTTTCTTACTTTACGGCGACTACTTACCACAGCCAGACAATGTGCTAAATATACCTCTTATGAAATAACACCTTTTCATAAAGAAACGTTTATCCTGCTATGAAGTATACGTACTATTCTGTTTATAGGCTTTTATTTCGAGATTCCCTACTCTCGTTGGTGGTGTACAGCGTTTTACCTAATTGTCTATTATAACATTCTGGGATTGATGAGGAGTGATAAAGGCATCCTATTCTTGTTCACTATTAATTATATATTCGATACGGGTAACAATTGATTTTAAGAATTTTCCCGTGATATGGATAAACATACATACACATAGAAGTTTAGAATATAAATATAATAAATCCTTCTTTATATTATAAACGCGAAAATTTGTGAGTGCGTATATATGGATGTTTGCGACTCTCACGCAAAAACTATTGAACGGATTTTGATGAAACTTTGCCGTAATATAGCTTATACATTAGAATAACATATAGGTTACAAATTTCACACGGTCGAAACCGCGGGCACAGCTAGTAAATAAATCTGAAATCTAAATAGGAGCAGAGATGCAGTGGGAAATGCTGCATAAACGGCATAAATGTGATACAAGGGTCAGCTAGTAAAAAAATAAACACATGGTAGGAGCTATATCAAAACCACCAATTTAATAACTTACAGATGAAACTATATCGTATTTATGTTTTATATCCACGGAAACCCAGTATTTTGGTTCACTAGTAACAAGGTCACTGAGCAATACAGATAATAAAAATATAAGCATTACTGTCATGGTCAGGTCAGAAAGTATCATCAGATAAAAATACTCTAATAGTGTATGTATCGATTTATTATCTTAATTGTTATTATGCCATATTTGTACATTTTCGTTGAATACTTTTTATGTAGATGTTTTTTTGTGTAGATGCAAAGGTGTACACATAAAACAATCCCCTCCGATCGATCCCCCGTCCAATTCAAATGGGGATTGAAATTACGACGGTCTGAACCGACGTTCGAACCCCTAGCGGTGCCCTCAGACTAAAGCCGTATCCGTCAGGCGGGAGTTAGCTTTCAGCCACTCCATGAGTTCTTTCGCGGGTTTCGAGTGCCATATGCAATCGTCCATCGTATCGTGAAGCTGTAAAGGCCTGCCGCCAACAGCATTACAGTAGTCCGAAAAAAAAACATTATTTCACTGTTTTGTGGGTGCACTCAATTGCACTCTCATCTGCGCAATGGGTTACATGACGATTCATCCTCTACTGGGGAACCAGTGGAGAATGAATATCATCATAGACATAAGGCAGGTCAGTTAGTCTATAGAGGTGAATTTATTGGTTGATTTCTTTCTATATCTCAAAAACAGGAATTGTTTTTAAGAAATAGAATGAATATCAATAGCAATAATAATTTCAGGACAATTTATACTCCCACATATTATCTAAGAGTCCCACAAGGAGAGCTTGCATTATGTGTACTAAACAAATGATATCAATGCTTAAAAAATCATATTTTTGCAAATACATATATAATACACATATTAAACACCCAGACCGATACAAATAATCTTAGTCAAGAATACAAATGAGTGAACCGAACGAGGAATCAAATCCGCGACCATCAGGTGTAAGGCGGCGCCGGCGTGATAAATAGCTAGACCGCCGAGGCCGTTAAATATTAAAAACACAAGTTATCACAGCGCCATCTAGTCGCAAGCTAAGCGGAGCATGAAAAGAAACCAACTACTTGTATTAAATAAGATATACGGACAACTATGTCCTTCCCCCTGATTTATCAATCAGTTCCATTAAGAATTGTTCCTTAAGGGAACTAATAAGATGACAGTAATTGTAGGTGAGCCTCATGAAAAACGTAACGCTACTCTTATATACCATTTAATACAGGGTTTGTAAAGGGTGTACATAGATAATAGTCATGAAAATGAATGCCCTTTCATCAAGAGACAAAGCGAAGTACTGTTAATAATTATTTAACATGTTATAAAACGATTATATGACCTTGCAGTTTGTACCAAGATTACAAAAGTTGTTATGAATTTCGCACATTATATCTTTACGAAAGTTTTTAGTTTTATAAATACTAAAGTGGCTTTCCGGATTATTATAACACTATAGAAAGTTACATATCATTAGGTACCTATAGTGTCTTATTTGAGCCTAATACAGAAATATTAAGTAGAAATAGTAACTAAGATTAATAAGTTTATAATTAAATTAAGATAAATGATCAATAGTAAAATTCAAACTACCATAACCATACAGTATGGATGCTTCTCCGAAAACCATTTACAACCGAAAATACAATGAAATAAAGAAATATCCAGGACGATAAATCAAGTAATAATATTAATATGCCAAAATTTATATTAATGCCGGCTGTAAGAACGAAAACGGTGACATTGTTAATGAAGAATGAGATCCACCACAAAATATATTATAGAACACCACAAATATAACAATATTAGCACTTCGTTGTACGTGATTGTAGATATCAGCAGTATAATGTGAAGCGGGCACAATAGAATTCCAATAATTGCATAAATGTGTATTGTTATATCTTCGTAGGAACTGTTCACTCCGTTACGACTGCCTCTAAATTGAACAACGTCATGTACATTACACAGGGCAGTAAGCCTAAAATAAAAATAATAATGGTACCCACTCTCAGTGATACACAGAAGCAACATTGTTTTGATACTCGACAATAATTATTTACAAAAGAGTCATATTAAAAAATAACTTTGTCTAATCTAACAAAATAGTACTTTATTAATATGGTCATAGGGGTCCCATTATCCTAATGTGTAATCCCAATGTGTAATCCAAAACCCAATATCCTAATGTACAATCATACATTGTACCGCGATTATCGTAACTAAGGCGATGTGCTAAGCTGAACTGAAAGAAATGGCAAACGTAAAACTTTTGAAACATTTACACCGTTTTTTAATTAATCCACGCATAATGCAATATGATATTCTAGATGGCGTACACATCGATTTAAAACTCGTTATAATTTTATGCTATGAATATCTTACAAGCAAAGGGTAAGTACGAAATTAAGCATCTCTTTACAGGCTTGGCATGCAACTAATAAACAATTTTTGTACATTCCAATTGGCTCTATACACAGATTTGGAGTTCTATAAACGATAAATGAATAAATTAAATAATTGCTGTTACATAATACATATATTTCTCCTAGTTATAAAGGATTTAATTAAAAATTGCATCTTTTCGGGAATACCAAGGAACGACGGTAAAATACTGTATGTTATTTAAAAAAAATTATACTTACTAGCTGTATCCGCGACGACCGCGAAGTTTAATAATCTAACCCATTAAGAGCCAAATAAAAACATTTCATCGTTCTAGCATAAAATGACGATTTTCCATACAACTAAAACAACATCCAAAAATAAGTTTCAATTTAATTAAGCTTCTAGCTTTGTAAGTGACGATACTTCCATACAACCTTTCATCTACCCTTTCTACTCCTTTCAACCCATTTTCTTTATTTATTTTTTATCAAGTCAAAAAATAAATTTCAACTTTTATTTTTAATAATAATTATAATTCCATACTATCATAATCTATCACATCCCCTTTAAACCCCTAGCAACCCTTTTTCTTATTTATATTTAATCAATAAACTAAAAAATAATGAATATTTTTCTTATTTGGTCAAGTTCACTATAACAAGCGGACGAAGTTGCGGGCACAGCTAGTACTTATGTACAATTATATATGTAACTGTTACCCGCGACTATCTCCACGTAGAATATTTTTTTTATTAACATAATACTTATTTAAAGTATAAGTTGACTAAGTTATTTATCTATTTCCGTATTAGCTATCTTTGAGTGAGTCTCGTCAGAATTGGTCCACCCTATTGAGAGATTTATCAGTAGTTTATAAAATATAAAGTTGGAATAAAATAAAATATATAGTCAGAAAAGAAAATAATCCATTTTCTACATATAATAAACTTTCCATATAAATACCATGGTACATAAATGTCTATTTAACCTCATTCATAGATACACACACATACTATTTTCTGTGCAGTGTTGCCAGCTTTGTGGTTACACCACAAATCTGGTGGATTTGACCCCCATTTAGTTGGCAGAATTTGTTCCTAGTGTTTAATACAATTTACACATTTACCAAATGAATTTTTCAACCACATGTATAAATATATTATACGTAGGTATTTTGTGTAATGCAACCACAGCAAATCGATTCTCTTTATCTTCCACTCCATTTTAATATCACAAAAATATTTGACAACTGTTTGGCGCGAAAATGAGAAAACAAACATAATGAATATTCATAAAAGTATTACAGGTTCCAAATTCAAATATAATATTTTGTTTATGACGTTTATGTTTTTTTTCATCTTTGGCAAGAGGCAGAGTGTTGCCTAATATGCCACTAAAAACAGGAAACGAGACGGTATAATGGAAAAGATCGGGTTAAATTTTGAATATATATTCGGAATTAGTGCTCATGTTATTACGGAAATTAAAAGATGCAAGATATTTATACATTATAGGACTAGAACTAGCTAATAGGCATACAATCGATGAAGAAAATGGAATTTCGAGTGAGATGAGTGACTCTGTAAATATAGAACTATTGTGAGAGGAACAGAAAAAGACAATGTGATTTAAATCACCCACATATTCTCCACATTCACAAATATTATTTAAGACAAGTTTCAATTAGTGCAATAACAAGGGGTTATTGATATTTATTTATTAAATTAATTTAATCACTTTTTTTGCTAAGTACACTTCTGCAATTCATTTGAACCACTTGGTTCATTATGAAGTAGATTTTTGAATATTTCTATACATTGGGCAACATGGGACGGTAGTATGTTAGAACTTACAATTAAGTTGATTAATGAAATAATAACTTTTGTAATATTAGATTGACTTTCATTTTTATACTGACTGTTAAGCGCACAGCCATTAGAAGGGGAGGGCATATTAAAATCTTTTATAATATTCTCATGGGCAATTTTATCATACCCAGCATAGGATGGACGAGGAGATTTAGGTTTTAAGAATACGGTTTTTTATAAGATTGTTTAGAAGCAATATCATTATAATTTTTTGTTTCAGGTATATTTTTTATAGTGCTGGATGGTGTGGAAAGGACAAAGGCAACAGGCTTTGTAACAGGAGGGTGCAATTTTGAGGTCTCGGTATATGAGATACAGTTTTCAGCCATATATAACATTATTTGCTTTTGTCTGTTAAACTCTGGACAAGATTTGCTAGTAGATAAACGATTTCATAGATAGCAAAAAGTATCTTCAACATCACATGTTTCTCCTGCATGGTTTTGACCGCATATAAAACAACGTGGCTTTGACCTGCATTGAATTTTTGTTTGACCATACCGACAGCAATTGTGACTTTGTATAGTTGGATAGGTGTATAATTCTACTGGTAATGCATTATAACACATGAAGATTCTTTTTGGTAGTACCTGACCATCAAATATGACTACTACGGTCTTATTACAAAAAATCTGTTAAAACTCGGACGAAACGTGGTCTAAATGGTCGTGGTTTAAACCATTCCTAAAGTTAATACTTGGAATAAGCCTAACATTATTACGAATCCAGATCTAACAGAGGACTACTTAGTACTACAGTTAAATCGTTCATTATGTATTCGTTTCATTATGTATTCGATTGTAGAGTAATAAAATGACAAGCCACACCATTTTTGATATTATATACTTCGCCTGCCATGGTTTGCACGTCTACTCAAACAAAAATATAAAATACTGCGGGAATCGGGTACTAAATTAAAACAAGTTAATCTAGATATAAAAAATAGTTATTTTCAGAAATTTATCATAATTTTGGGTAATCTTATGGAAAAATTTAGGGGAAAAGCACGATCACACTTTGGCAACACTGGCAGTAAAAAAAAAAACATTTAGTTTGTATTAGTTTGGTTTGTATCTGTGATACCGCTCAGTAAACATGGTTACATAAATTAAAGCATGTTTTAAAGTTATGATTTTTCCACGCTGCTTTGTAACCGTCATACGTAAAAAATTCAAACAATACGATCGTTTAATTTATTTTGTAATGCGTTCTATTCTTTTTTACAACAATGATTTTATGTGTTAATTAATTTGTAAATTTTATTAAATAATTTTGTCATTTAATACGTTAAATACCAAATCGTTGAAAATCATAGTGATATTTATAGCCTAGATGGATTTGAATACTGAAAAACAGTTTACTGCGGTTTGTATTATATGCATTAATTAATATCATTTGTTTTTTTATTAATTTTACCATCATCTACTTTATTTCTGTAATTATTAACGTAATGTAATTAATTTTAATATAAATTTAGTATATTTTTTATTTTAAAACGTACTCGATTATTATTCCTATCGGTAAGTTCCAAATTTTACACCCGTAGTAGTAGTTAATCTATTTAAATATTTTAATACAAACCTTGACAAGGAACAACTTGAAAAATATTTTATAGAAAATTTAAATTTAGTATTTCAAAACATGAAATGTTTATAAAGTAACTATTGATCAAACAGGACCTATTTTCTTCAGGTAAATATTTATAATTTAGAATAAGGTTCTTTTGTCAGGTACAAAATGAAGCATTACATGATTTTGAAATATAAATTAATATAGTTACTGTGCATTGATAAATAAAATTGTTATTGAAAATAAAATAATATACTCACCGCTTCAAACATATTCCCATTAAATCAGCCAGTATGTCATGCTGATCAGTGGATACTTATCAATATATGATTTATTTAATTATATCGCATAATTAAATTTGTATGAATGATAAATTACAGAATAGAATACATATATAACAAATATAATTATAAATAAAAAAAAATGAGCATAATATGTATTTAATATATATTTTTTTAAATTAATATATGTTCTGGTGTTCTTATTTTAACAATAATTATTAAATATAAATGTATTTCTTTTGAATCATTGTCAACTTATTAACTGTTCCATGGCACAGGCAATAGTATAGACAGGATTCATTATTACTGAATTTAATGTTATGTAGAAAGTGAAAATAAGTTGTTGTACTTGTACAGTAGGAATTGGTCATGAAAATCTGTTGCTGAATATAGTGATGTTAGGTTCCAGTGCCAGATATAGATAAACTATAATATTAAAGGGTAAATTATCATACACATAATTACTCTTTAATTTATTACAAATTCAATACTGACCTATCAAACAAGTAGTGGATATATGTATGTACATATATATGTACTTATTAAAACTATATTATGACATATTTATCTGTGTCTGTTACTCCAATTGCTTTCTAAGGTTCAATTATGTTGATGTGTGCTGAAATCTGTATTAGATAGGTATATTTCAAATTCATTCATGCATATATGATATGTTTTATTCTGTCTGTTGGCCGTTTTATCCAGAATGGAACTAAACGGGAACTCATTTATTCAAAGTATAGCTTAGGAGCAAAAGGTGACAAAAGTTTTGTTTGTTAGAGATACTCAACTAATAACACATATTGCACAATCAGTCTTTATGTTTTTATCTGTATTGGCACAGTGTTCAGTACTGTTGTTAGATGACTTTTATCTAGTCTGAGTAGATAAACTACTTTACAAAGTTATCTACTGATTTTTTTTTTTGCTAGATGACGTTTAAGATTTTACTAAACAAACAAGCGCCTATTTAGATTAACATTTACGTATTTACCACAATAAAATTTTTATTTCGATTACCTGTAATCCCCAAACTAGGTCAGACTTGTATCTTGGGATCTGGGAGCGCGATTTAAAGGGTGATTTTTAGTAATAGATAATTGTGATTCCATTGCTAAGAATGAATTATGTCAGGTCCACCTCCAAGTAAGTCATCATGGTCATCTCCTCTGCCTTAAGTATGTGAGAATATTACTAACAATTGTCATTTGAAAGGTATTCAAATTTATAATTTTAGAGTTATGTAAGGATCGTTTATTGGTTGCAATTGCGAAACAAAATTTCTATAAACAAATGGTTCATTATAAAATCACGTCAATTTCAATCAATTGTGAAATTAATATTTAGAATTGTTAATAATATATACTTATATAATTAAGGCTCTGGTGATTATCATCGTATTACGATGGCCTAAAAAGCCTAGCAAGTATATTTAGAGATAGTTTATTGGATTTAAATATGACAGTCGATTATTGGCAGAATCAATAATAAAATAATAATTAGTAAATAGTCTATCTAATGTCAACTATCTGACATTAGATACACGAATTGACATTTATACAAATGTATACAATTATATCAAAATCGTTAATGTTAAGAGATTAGACATATGATTTTATATTTTAGTATAAGAAGAAACGGCTACCATGGTACAAATACATAACAGTGGAACCGCCAATGTTCCTGTATATGATGGCATATATGATCACATCAGTCATAGAACAGACTTTCTATGTATACCAGGCTTGCACAGTAAATCATGGATACAGTAGTGAAATATGTTATAACATTAGCAATTACGAGGATGTAAACGAAAAAGTTCAGGTAAGTACTAAAAACGTAATAATAATTTCTATTACCGTATTCAAACTAGATATTCCTTATTTTAATCCAGGCGAGATGTCTGAAATAAGTTTATTGGCCGTGCAAGAAATAATGTGGCAAAATTAATAATATATAAATTAAGTTAAATCGATTGATATGAATATTTTGAAAAACTTTGTCAGAAGGCTATTTAATTGTTCATACAGTTTATATGAACTATCATACTTTCCCTTTAAGCCGTAGTTCTCGTAATTACGCGATAAAAAGTACTAAAAATAATTGTACACTTATGTAGGTGGCATGAGGCATATCAAAAGCTAAACAGAGTTCCTTAATTGCTTACAAAAATAGTGTTACACAACCTGTTGATGTCTAGTACCCACATACAAAGTTAACTTAATTTGGAATTAATTAGAGCTGTGATTACCAAAATATTGTATATGATATCCAGAGCTATTTATTAAGTTAATTTTATTTACAGATAACTGTTTCTACATTTCACCAATGGAATGGCATAGCTAGCCATGTTGTGCCTCTAATACTCGCATTTTTTTTGGGCTCATATAGTGATAAACGTGGTCGTAAGTTTATCTTGCTGGCGGGGTTGGTCGGTAAACTGTATTTCTCTGCTAGTATAACGCTAAACGCATTGAAAGGTATGTATTCACATTACATTCTGTTATTTTATAAAAATGTATCTGATTAGAAAACAATAATTATACTTTTGGCATTGATTTCCTTCCTAGAACTCTAGAACGTAGAAGTCTTCATTTCAGTCAAACATTTTCATTGCAGCTCTGCTCTTATTGGTCGTAATATGACGTTAAGTACCCTGTGACACTCACAACTAACTTTCTGTTGGCAAAAGAATTTTCTAAATATGTACAATAGATTCAGAGAAGACCCTTACAAACTTAATAATATTATAAGAAAGGATTACTTTTCTTACATATATACGTGTCCAACGTAATTATTACCTGGCTTCCTCTTTTTGATGTCGGTTCATTATTTTTTTACTTATTATTACTATTTCAGCGTGGCCTGTGGAGTACGTTATTTACACAGCAGCATTTCCAAGTGCACTTACTGGTGCTGACCTAGCCATATTTGCTGGTTGTTTTGCATACATCGCTGACGTAACTTCTGTGAAAAATAGAACGCTCAGAGTTGGCATATTGGACGTGGTTTATTTAAGCACTATGCCTACAGGCGTTGCTATTGGTAAGTTATGAAATTTTGTTTTGTTTGGTTTTATGATAATATTTTTATCACTAAAAATTGCGACCATAAGACTAATAAACTAGGTGTAGGTTATAAAATCAGATTGCATTATTGTATACGTTTATTAAGGATTATTTGATAATTTCTCAAAAAATTGTGTGGTAGAATTGTATTTATATTTTTTTTAAATAGTTGCGATTTGGTTGTTGTTAAATTGTAATTAAATACTCGAATTTTCATGCTTCATTGACTTTGGATATCGAAATTAAAAAATAATACATATCATAATGCATGCTTTTACTTATTACAGAAAACTAGGGTGAAGTATATATAATTTTCTGTAATAACTAAATCTCAGGAATCTCAAATAAATTCTACCGAAGCTTATATTTTTCGCATTGAGTTTTCTACATTTTTTAGTATAAAATAAAAAAAAATTGTAATTCCAGGAAATATATTATACAAGAACGTGGTCAACAGATCGTTTGCCGCTATGTTTGCTATCAACACAAGTCTTATGGTTCTGGCAACACTGTATTGTTTGATATTCTTGGAATGGCAGACGAGACCTGAACAGAAATCTCTAAGAGAAGCCAATGTAAACAATGTTATAACTGATTTCTTTGATTTTAACAATATCAAACGAACAGTAATAACGTTGACAAAGAAGAGGCATAACAATAGAAGATTATATTTATGGTTCCTGCTAATATCTATGGCATTCTATACATTTCAAAGAGGTAAGCACGTACATGCAACAAACATTCGCTTTAATAATATTAATAATAATACATTGCATCAACACTAGATGGCGTAGTGTACCTTTCAATCAAGTTTTAAATTGACTATTGATTGTATTATATTGTAACGAAACGTTCATCATTCTGTATCTATCCACTGCTGGATATATGCTTTATTTTTAATAGTATTTCAGTATATCAGGAATTTTGAAGAATCAGTATTATGCATTAAGCATATAAAGCGATCCCTATGATCTAACATAATCAATACGCAACTAATAAATAAATTGATAAAGGAATATTTTTTCATTATACTTCTCTGAGGTCAAATAAACTTTCATTTTCTCGAAATTAGCCTAACATAGTTCTTTATATTTCATTAACACCGCCATATAAATACTACATATAGGGGGGAAGAGGAGAATCATCGTGGTAAATTGTCATTTGCCAAAATGGTCTAACGGAACTGACTTCATGTTTATTTTATCAACCTCCACTAGGGACTAGCGTAACCGTTACCGCAGATGGGTGCATCATTCCATTATAATACATAAAAAAAGGTATATGTATTGGGAAGACTATTGATCCCATTACTAGTAATGTACTGTATCAGGTCGACCTCAACATATTTTCCATTGTTGATTAATTAGTAACGATGGACATACTGATCTAATATCATGCCATGTTAGAATAGGCTTGTGCACCTTTTCATTTTTATCCATGAGGGTTAATGTTCCAATTTATTTAACATATTATATTTTTTTTTATATAATTTTAGATGAACGTCCTGTGATGTACTTGTACACGTCCAAAGTATTCAAATGGGATGCGACAGACTTCAGCAACTTTCGAACCTACCTGAGCGCAGCGTACGTGTTAGCCATGCTGTTCGGTATACCGATTATGACTAAACTGTTGAAGTGGAGGGACACAGTAATGTATTTTTTACAATAAGTAACCCTATATACCGGCTTAAGTACATTGCTGCTCAAGCTTTCCATACTTACTTCGAGTCTGGCTGCAAAATACGATGAACCCGAGGACTTTGTTTTTATCAGACTCCTGAAGAACGCGGGTAATGTTTTTCGGATGTTTATATATACCTAGCGGCTATAATAAGTACCACTATAATGTAGATTTTGTTGTGTAAATATGAGCAGCAGCAAGGAAAGGTAGAAATGAAAGAGAGATGGATCTATAAATACTATAAAAATATTACGTGTGCATATTTTTGAAGTATTTACAGATGACGGTTATATGATTTTAGTAAATTAATCAACTAAACATGTTCCAAAAACTAGTCCATTAATAACCAATCTACTTAATTGCAGGATATCATTTTAATTTTTCCATGGCATCTTTTGCCATTTATATGTATAATACGTTTAATGTTCATATCAACATTGATGTGTCATTTATAAATGTGTTCACCAAATGGTGAACACAATTATAAATGTATTATTATAATTATGTATTTCATTTCAAAATGTTACTAAGGAAACAACTTATTTTGTTACAAGTTCTTAGTTCAGTAAAACTATATACGTATATATATGTTATCGTGCTATTTCACCCTTGCTGTTATTGTATTATTAAGCGTGTCAAGCAGTATCATTTTAATGGGTTATTATGGCATAATATTTTTTTTTATTCTTTCCAGTTAATAATAATGTTAGGTGCCACTTGTCATATGGGTGGACATTTGGCATACGCACTTGCTACTTCAGGTGAATTGATGTACGTAGGTGCTACTATAGCTGCATTAGGACCCTGCGTAGCACCTCTTATACGGTCTATGGCCTCCAAAGTGCTGCCTGCAGCGGAACGAGGTATGTTTAACATCACAGCCAGGATAAATTCCGGATGTCGGTGATAATTCATTAGGTTAAATATTATCTATTAGAGCAAAGTCTAGCTATTTCTGTTCAATATTTCTATCAAGGTATGCAGGGGTTCAGAGCTCCTAGAACTTTGCTAGTTAATAATATTTTGAATGATCATTTATGTACATATGATAACTTGGAAATCATATAATAATAATAATAATATTTATTTGTCTCAAACAAAAACTTTTCACACAATACAACTGTTGCCCATACAATAATATAATTTAAAACTAATGAACGAGACAAAACGGTCTATAACTCAGTGAGGGCAGTGAGTCCACCCTCTCTGCTATTCTGTTATAGCCTTTATCAGTAAAATAATACAATGTAAGATCGACGACGACGATAGCATATTAAGTTAAGTTCTAAACTATAACTAACAAAGTAAACATAAAAATTGACAATAACAATGACTCTGAACAAGTACAATATGATTTGTATTGACTCTATGTTTGAAAAAATGAAATTGAATATACATAAATTTTTGATTATATATTAAAAACTGAATAAATTTTAAGTATTATTTTCATGTTTGTATGTAATATATAATAAGATTTATTTTAAAATGATAATCTGCAACGCATGAATGGTACCACGGGGTCACATGATTATGTGCTATCCATAACGCTGGTCATGTATAGGCGATGATTACAACATGACATAAGGTGGGTCGTAGAGTTGTTTTTCATTCCAGTTTATTAAAAATATATCCATAATATCTAGTACTTAATATATTTTAAACTGTCCATCCTATGAGTATGACAATTTAGAGGTGATACAATATAATTACTGACACAGAAATTAATTTGTGTATATTATGGCTATAGTATGGTGAATTGTAGTGATTTTTAATTATATTAAAATTGTACTGATGATGCGTCTTGATTATATTTTCAGGTGTAGCATATGCCTTTTTATCAGTCATGGAGAATGCTGTTGCAATGTTTGCATCAATCATCTACTCTCAACTCTATAAAGCAACACTCAACACTGAATATATTAATTCGATTTTTTACCTCACAATGAGCACACAAGCCGTTGTGTTTATATTGACACTGTAAGTATTAGTTGTCAATTACTCTCCTCTAATTCTAATAAGGGTTTAGTAAGATATATAATTTATTATTTTCTTTTCAGTATTATAGATATGATGTTGAAAGGGAAAAAGATTGAAAGCTTAACAGATCAAGAAGAAAAGCACATAGCAGAAAGAGAATCTCGCGATCCAAATTAAAATGTAGTAATGTATATCTTTATATGTATATTGTTAAATTGCAATCAGCGATGATGTTATTGAACTTAATTCTTATTGTCTAAAATTTAAGACGTACTTACGTAAAATATGAACAGACCAGACTAAAGAAGTTGTGATTGTTTAACTACACTAATGATTAAAATTAATTATGCAATAAATTGTTTAATACAATTAGGTGCAAAATTATATTTTTATAAAGAATATTGTCTTTGTTATTTACTTCATAACCTTATTATATGCTTTATAGTATAAGTATCTTAGTTACCATTATAGCCTATAGGTTATCACTAGCCTATGATTTTGTTGATGTCAACTATTATACTATATGTTACTTCAAAGCCCTAATGAACAAAGTACACATACTTATATATAAATCATCTGTAAAAAAATCTCTAATAGTGAAAACTAAATTTGTTAAAGTCAATAATAAAATTCCTTTTTACAATACACATAATATTCATTACAGTAACATACTAGAGATATATGAATATCCTATAATGAAATGCAGGAAACTAGTGTGCTATCTTTCTGTATATCAAAGAGTAGAAGATATATTCTAAAGTGATATTATTATATAGTGACGTCTATAGTATACATAATATGTAAGTATAGACTTATGAACACAATTTTTAAAATAGTGATCATTAAATGAAATATAGAGGTGAAAATCATAAAATTTAAAAGCCATTGATTTTGAAACATTATTTTTATTACATTATTAATGTACAGACTTTTAATGGTACTTAATAGCTACTATATCTTCCCAAAACACATCAACACGAGATAACATGTAGAGATCCATCATTCGATGTTAGTCGTAAAACTTTAACTTATAGTTTATAAATGGAGAGCTATAAATTCAAATAGAAATTCTTTAAAGTAAACATTAAGATAGAAATATAAACAAAATGAGTATTATTTGTACAAAACAATGCATTCTACAAGTTGTTACCATTACTTATTAAATATTGAGTTACCTCCTAATCTTATAATGTCATGAAAGCACTCTGTCCTAGCTTATCATAGCCAACAGTAATTAAATCATATACGACGCAGACAACATGTTCTTTGATTAATGAAAAGGCAGAACAAATCTATGTTGTAGCGATATTTTTTATATATAGTAAGTTATATATGAGACAGTTTATTTAAGTACTATAGTATATATTCTATTTTGTTTAAACATATCACACCTAATTAATATTGGGGATTCCATTGTTTTATATGTGACTAAATACAGCATCGTCATTTTCCTAAAAATGATTAGATACCAGCTGTACACCCAATGGACTAATGAATAGTAACCAACCCATAGTAACGTTGTATTTGGCACATACTACTGATAAAGTAACTTCTTAAGTCTATACATAAGCAGCTAAATGTTTTGGCAAATTCTATTATGATTAAATGGTACTATCATTCAAGGCAAATTAATCCAGGAACTGAGATATTGTTCAATTTCCACTCTTGCTTCGACTAATTCGCTTGAATCTTTGTCACTTGAAGGATACATATTAGCACAATGAGCAGTACCTGGAATAATAAAATGTGTCTATGAAAATAGATTTAAATGACTAATTTCGGCAAATAGACAAAAACACAATTAACTTATTTTGACATTAATTCATTACATAGTGAATATATATTTATGGTTTAATTTAGTATAAAGTATATGTAAATTAAAAATGTATTAATTTTTATTTATATTAAAAACATACCATTGCATATTGTAACATTTATTATGTAAGAAAAACATGATAAAGAAATACGAAAGGTATTTATTAGATGGCCTCGGTGGTCTAGTACTTTAGCCCACCGCTTTACTTTATCTATATCAGTTGCTACCTATAACACAGCTTGTGTAATGGGTACTAGACTTGGCACTAGATGGGGCTGTGTGAATTGTCCTGTGTTATACAGCATTTCTTATATTTATTACTACTCATAAATAGCGATCTGACTTCTTCGTCCATGTTGGTCCTGATATTTATAAAGTGTTGTGTCAATGTAAAATAATTTGTAAGATTTAAAAACATTACAAACCATGTATATAGATTGCAGGTGTATCATTAGTTTCAGTAGTTGTAACTCCCAATGCATGCCAGGGGTCCACTGATCCGTGTACAAAGACAACACGGCTTACAGATATACCCAAAGCACCATAATAAGCATTGGTCCAATGGGCAGCCGATGTAATGAAATTTTGATCAAACCTAAAAAAACATATACAAGCGTTTGTAAGAAACACAATTGTTTACTTTTATAATTGGCAGATACACCCTAGCGCAGGTATCTACCGTCATAATATATATTTTTAAGGGATATTATTTGAATGGTGCACTCGCCTGCGGCTCGACCTTATGGTCATCTTATTTTGGTCTCTCCTCTCTCTCCTCTGGTGCCTCGCCAGTATACCTACGCTGGCGAAGCACCAGAGGAGGAAGATAATTAAATGACCATAAGATCAGATCAATTAGCTCATTGTGGCAAATTCACCAGGAATTTAACATGATGATTTCCAGAAGGAACTGCTTGTAAGTCAACCTGACGCAGTACTTTTGCTAGCAATGGGATTATTAACCCACGTTACTAACAATCCCATTCCCCCCCGACCGTCTTGATATTGTTTTGCATGCGTTGTCGCGTACGTCTCTTGGCAATGCCTGAAAATCAGTACTTTGCTGCTTGAGCATACAATACACTGAGGTTTTGCCTTTTTTGGGTATGGGCGATGCACGCAAACTACGTTACTGATACATTGCATATTAACAAATGTAGTTGTGTATTTTTTTTTTTTAACTTTGCATATTTTTCTTCCTATTACTGTAACTTGTTTGTGTATCCTTCAATGCAAATTTAATATAATAATAATAATGCAAAGTTTTATATATAACTTAATAATATAATTTTTACGAAAATTGCTACGGTTCATGTATATAGGCGATGGTAACAGCGTATCATCAAGTGAACCGTCAGGTTGTTTACCATTCCGTTGAGATATATAAAATGCATGCCTGCATTTCTTTATCTGTAATTAGAACGGCAAATAAACTGTTGAGCGACATTATTAAATCGTCACTTACATACATGAACCCGCACCACGGTCGTCTCACGAGACCAAAGGTATGCGTTGATAACTTGTAATTTAATTATAAATACCTTTTTCTTCAATTCGAAACATGGTTACACGGTTGCTTGGTGGTCAAAAGTAGTTGAAACATACTTTGTTGTACAACAATCTTAATACATACTGTACCTTGTACAAAGTTACCTCAGTAAAGTTTATGAAGTTACCTTTATTTTAGACGTTCACGTAAATATAAATACTATAGTAAACTAGCTGAACCCGCAAACGTTTTTTAACCATATAAAATAAAATTAGCTATTAAAAAAAATAGGGGTCGGTGATAGAAGGGTGAAAATTTAGGATTGTATCATTTTTTATTGCTACTTTAAATAAAAACAAATTGTTTACAAATAAAAAAAAAATATTAGAGATGAACAACCCTTACCACTTAGGGTTATGAAAAATAATTAGTAGCCGATTCTCAAAACTACTGAATATGCATATAACATTTCTTAAAAATAGATCAAGTCGTTTCGATTCAGTATGTTAACTCTAACATTGTTAGTCATTAGTTGTAGTAAAATTACTTACAACTAGCTGTGTGCCCGAGGTTTCACCCGCGTGAAATTTATAGCCTATATGTTATTCTGATTTATAAGCTATATTACTGTAAAGTTTCATCACAATCCGTTCAGTACTTTTTGCGTGAAAGAGTAACAAACATCCATCCATACTCACAAACTTTCACGTTTTACAATATTTATAAGATTAAGTTTGAATGAAGCTATCAGTGGGTCCTTACTTATTTCCGAATATATCTTGACATTGTTTAATAAAAAAATTTATTGGGAAGAGATTTCCAAAAACTTCAACTTCCCCTGAAGATGTTTGGTAAAAGCCAAATTCTGTACATGTTTGGTACGTCCACTGTCGTGCTGTAACATACAATGTCAAACAATTATATTTTTTGGAGTTAGCAAAATATCCGGTATATTACTGTGCGTTAAATTATTGAGTATTTGAATTTATTGAGTTATATGCAAATATATTACTATAAATATTTACTATATATATCTAGTAATCTGAAAGTAAAAAAAAACAGTAAATAATGTAATAATAAATATAATAACTTTAATGTAAATGTAACAAAAAAAAAGATAAGTCTTGGATAAAGCATCTAGTAAATGTATACAGTAACTAACCAACGTCGTAGGCTCCCCGTAGTAAATTATAGATAATAATTGAATAATAATAATAGAATTATATTATTATTATCAATTACTATTATTTACATATATATTTCTCCAAAAATAAGAAATGTATATTATAATATTATTAAAAATAACAGGAAACAAGAAAAGAACACAAAAAAAATATATACAGGTTGTAACGGAATGGGTATGTCAAACCAAAAGGATCGGATACAGCTAGTTATTTAAAACCCTTTGTACATATTTTTAGATCAAATGCAATACCTTAAACAATATTAAATTATTATTGTTTACTTTAATTAATTGTTACATAAAAAACTTGTCCCAACAATATACGTCATAAACCTCATCGTGAATTCGATGTCAGTTCTTCCACGCGCTCCTGTAACTCCAACACACCTAGTACTCGCGACGTGCCATGCAAAACTATGTCGCGCACACGATTACTCTGTGTATGGATTATATTAATGTTAGTAAGTAGATTTACAGACCTACGTTTTATAAGAAGCGTTTAATGTGCTTACCCTGCTGCCATATGTAAGGCTGTACGCTTATACATGCAGTTACGCATATACGCATTAGCTGATACGACTTATATTACGCAGCAGCTGATACGACCAACGATGCACACCATAATTTCCTCTGATATCGTACAATCCACTACACAATAACAACCACGCTACTCATATTTTCCACTATCTACTTGTAATTTTTATGTATCCCCACAAAAAGAAATCGGCAGGCGATACATCTCACGCGCACCACATAAATTACCATTACAGCTACTACAGAGTATTTCGTAATATTAAATATTACTTAAAGACATTGTTTTAAAATGAATTTTAACACATAGAGAGCGACTGAACTTAAAATAAAAATTGTGGGCATGTTATGCGGAACGAGGAACGACGATCATGTCTTAAGAAAAAGTGTTAAATCATGTCTTAATATGATCGTGGATGGATGGAAAGGGAGAGGACGTCCAAAAAAAAGATGGATGGATTGTGTGAAAGATGATATGAATAAAAGGAGAGTATGCTCAGATATGACGGCCGCGCGCCTAGCGCGATATCTATCTCAAAGTTCAACACAACATAACTCACTATTGCTGTCTACTGCTTAATAGAACGTAACTCCAAGGGTAGAATAAGATACCCTTGGAGTAGCATAATAAGGGTATCCAACCATCGGAGTAAAGTTCTGCCCAGAGTAGACTACTATTATTATGTACTTTGTAACGAGGGTTACATTCTATTATCATCCTTTAACAAAAATCTGCAAAAAGGCAATCGCAATAGGACAAATATTCTGAAAACAATTACTATCTATAAAATCATTTTTATCCTGAACCCAAAATGCAAGAAAAATACCCGGAGCAATGTGAAGAGGTGAGGAGGTTTTATTCCAATAAGTTTGTGTTTAATATTAGGCATTATGATGTCGATGACCGGAACAACTGATTGGGGCTCTAGTGTTGTGGAAAGTGAAATAAATTAGTTTTGGATGTGGTCATGGTAGTAAGTGCATTTTAAGCATTATCACTTAACATCAGGTGAGATTGTGGTCAAACGCGCTCAAATTTTAATATAAAAAAAAATTTATTCTTCATAAAATAATCGGAGGTGGTTCCCCTGTAACCATGGACAGGTTCCGTGCTCTTCGTATTGATATACCCTTTCCTTTACACCCTGTATATGTATATTATTATTAGTTGAGAATAACATTGTTATTGTCTCTTTTAATACATTGGTGGAAAATCAATGTATTATTATTTAAAAGAACAGCATTTTAGAATCATCTCCATTCTTACTTAACACGATTATATATTAATTCTACATACTGTCTTGCCTAACAATAAAACCAATTAAAAAGAGATATAATCACAGGGCTAAAGTGATTAATCATTATATAAATAGCTTGAATCTAAAGTCGAGATTAGACTATGCTCGACTGTTGCAAGAACAGTAGTAAGAAATATTTTTATAATAAAAAAAATGACCAGTCACTCTTACTGCTTTTCTGTAATACGAGATGAAACGTTATTTCGTTCTATACAGCAGATTAGGTCTGGTTTACTCTATATTGTCACTCGAGAACATTCTTTCCGCCATTGATCCACATGTGTTGAATGGGTTGTTCATAGTCTATGCTAAATGGTGTATAGATGTCAAGCGTTCTTGTCAGATGCTTTTAAATAATTTTCGGTCAACAATATTTTACTTATCAACATACTCTTAACAAATCAACTGAATATGATTGTAGTATTAAAAAGTTATTTTTTTAGGAGTAATAGTTGTAGTATTTTTTACAATTTTAATGCAGATTTTTCTATTAATCAAAATATATCCCGATACTTTATTTTACTACGAATGACGATTCAATGCATATCGTATATCACACTTTATCTTACCTTCATCAGACCCCCACGACACTTTACGCAACTCATTAATCATATTATCATAACTGTAGTCAAGACATGTTTGATTAGTTTTTTCTAAGATTATAGAGTTAAAATTTGCAACTTTCTTGTAAGCAGGGTCAGACCCTTCGCCTGTGATCATGTTGCAAACCTGAAAATATGATTTTGTAAATATTGGATAACTATTAATAATTATGATACTTTTAAATTCCAAATAATAAGGATAAATCAGATATTACAGTTGAGAAGGGAAAGGGGAATATACCATATCATGTCCACTCCTTCTTTGGAAATCATCGTAATAAATTAATAGCGAATTTACCATGATGGTTTCCAAGGAAACTGCGTGGAGGCTAAATGACCTGACCTCATGTTCATCTTATGTCCCCCACTGGTGCCTCACCAGCGTAAACTGTAATGGCAGGCAGTTGCATCACCATGAATGATATGTGTGCATCATTCCATTATAAGAAAAATATTACTGGTCAATTCAAAATTGTAACTAATAAAGACATCTTGAAGCTTGTTACATTTTTTTATTATCACAATGCAAACTATAAATTTGAATAAGATATTTAATAATATATACAACGTCAAACGGTTTCACAATATCAAGTATTATCAAACAAAAACGTAGGTATTGAGCGCTGTTATTACTTACAGTGTTTATTGTGAGGTTCAAATACCGCTTATCAGCACCAATTCTGTTATCCTCGTTATATTGCACTAAATCCGCAAAATCGTCTGCAATTGAATTGTAGAAATTCTTCATATCGTTCGTTGTGGCTTCAGAAAATGGCTTGCATAGCCTAAAAAGTAATTTTAAATATGTATGAATTGCTGATTGGATGGCACACTTTGTGGCATTTAAATAACAAATTGTTGTTTTTTGTATTGGCTAATCAGAAATGTATTATTGTAAATTTGTATGTCAATTTATCATTATTATTGTATATTTGTGTTCATACTGCAATGTCTTGACAATGGTTTCTAATATATATCTCATTATTTCCAGTATTTTATCTTATATATATATATAATGAAATACCTTGACAACTGTAATTCCAGTCACTTGATAACCATAACACTTGATATGCCCGAGTAAATATAGAATTCAAAGCAAGGTAGGGGGTGAATCAGCGTCAATCAGATTTACTGATACAAGGTACTTATTCACCGTAAAGTCAGAAATACAAATATGAAGTTTCGTTTGTGTCGAACAGAATTAAACTTACGACTTTTTGTTTGTCATATTGTTAAAATATATTATACATTAACATCAACATTTATAAGGAATTCTTAAATGTGTTTAAATAATGAAATACTTGCTTACCTAATATTTAAAACAACAACAAAATTAATACTTTATATCAATCGTCCCTGAAACTTCTTTCTTGAACCTATGCCTTATTATTTCCGTATCTTGCATGACTGTCGGTAACAAATAAACTATTGCCCATAATTATATTGTTTTAAGTGTTTAGTTTAGTTATACATACTTGAACTCCTTTTCAATAATTTCTGGATTAGTCCGTATCAGTGTGACGATTTGATAATGCGCTAATTTTAACTGTTCGACGCATTCTTCGCCTCCAGTTTTCTCTCGTAATGCGTTAACCACAACTTCGAAATATTCTAAAAAAATATACACATGTTATTAAAACATACATCTCCTAACATACATCTTATATATAATTATTTTTATTAAATCATTACTTAAACATGGCCAAAAATATCTATATAAAACCTGCTTGGGCAGATATCAAGCAACTGATAATAATTGAAGTTGGTCCAGTAGGGATAAATAAACAAATCGTGAAAATAAGAATGTAATGTAGTATTTTTAAAACATACATTATTATAATTCACAAGTTTTCATAGTGATGATGCTTTTATGACCTACCATATAGTGGAATAATGATTATAGATATAATTATATTCATAAACATAACTATAATTAAAAATTGATATTTAATTAGGTCCTCTAAATAGTATCTCTATCTTTTGATCTTAATTTAAAAACTCCACTCTTAAATTGTATTATACATGGGGAAAATGCTACATGTATATCTTGTTTAAACTGAAGATTACTATGACACTGTAAACATCAAACCAGAATTTGTATAAAACAGTTTATTTGTATTATCAATACAGTCTAATTGTACATATTTAGTAAAAAATAGTGTACCCATAAAGTTGACTTTAGCCAGTAATGGACCACTGCTAGACACAGCAGCATGGACAAGGTGAGGGTATTTTAGTCTCAGCCATGCAGCCAAGGAACCTGGGTAAGAACCACCAAATGCTATCCACTTTATATCTTTGTTTAGCCTCAGTTCCATATTCATTGAAGTTATAAAATTAGCTAAGTCTGCCAGAGCTTGGTATGATGATAAATATTGTAAGTTTTTGGTACTTAAATCTCTGCAACCAGATAAATTATATAATGAGCAACAGAATATAATATATAATAAATATGAATAGGATGGTATCATACCACTCAATACAAAACAATAATTGTCAGTTTATGGTTTATTATTATTCCAAACATATACAATCATTGTTAATTAAAATAATTTTAACTATATTGTAACCCAAAAAGTAAACCATTTTAGGTAGACAATATTCTATCTAATACATAAAATGTAAATGGTAAATAAACCAGACATAATTTCTTATTGTGAGAGAACCTATTCATTTTTAAATTAAGTACGTATGTATATCTTAAAAACATCTAATCTAATCTTAAAAACTTACTCAGTTGGATGACTTTCTCCATAATAACGATGTTCCAAATTTATGCACAAGGCTTTAAATTTCTGTGCATATTCAATCCAAGCACCTCTAACCATCCATCTAGGATCAGCTGGTCCTTCACCGCCGATCATTAGGAACACAGGGCCTTGATTGTCATAGTCGAAGAATGTGTCGTTGATATAGTACCGCTTTGAGACAACAAAATCACACATTTAAAAAAATAGGGAACATTATAAAAAATAGAAGTAAAAATCACAGATTCTACTACAGCTTTGAAATCTAAACTGAGAATAACAACAAACAAGTTTTGATAAGACATCAAAGAAATTTTTCAAAAAAAAATAAACAAAAATTTACTGAAACCGTTAATGGGATAAATTGGTTAGAAATGGGAATAAATAATTTTATAGCTAAATTTGTAGATATATTTAAAAATTGTTTTAAAAAAAATCATATAAGAATTAAACCTTCAAATGACACAGCATCTAAATGGATCACAAAGGGAATAAAAGTATCTAGTATGATGAAGCGATTTCTAATTGACGTTAACATATCAAATAATGATCCAAGTTATTTGATCTATCGTAATAACTATATGAGACTATATAGAAAGGTTATAAGGTACGCCAAGAAAACATCAATACAGAAAGATATAAAAAAAGCTAAAAATAATACTAAGGGCATTTGGAAAGTAGTAAATGACAAGAGAAATAAAACTAAAAATTTAAGTGTATGTAACTTAAAGTAAATAATAAAATTCTAATTAATCCAACTGACATTGTGAAACAGTTTTCAATAAAATTTGATCAAGTAATGACATACCAATTAGTGATAACGAGAACGCCTTAAAATATCTTAATGAAAATGTTATTAGAGTAGAAAATATTAATTATATTATTATTAATTAAATGGGAAATTATTATGCCGGATGAGGTTTTGAAAGTAATAAGGAGTTTGAATCCTAAAAAATCGTGCGGATATGATGAAATGCCTACATTAATACTTCAATATAATAAAGAAATAGCACTGCCTTTAGCATACTTTTTTAATATGTGTCTAGAGGAAGGTGTTTTTCCTGATCAGTTGAAAATATTCAAAGTAATACCAGTGCATAAAAAGAATTCAAAATTAGATCCGAATAACTATCGACCTATTTCTTTGCCACCATTGTTATCTAAAATTTTTGAAAAATTAATTAAATAGCGACTATTGCAACATTTGATGAACAACAATATTATAAATAAGAGACAATTTGGATACCAAAGAAATATAGGAACGACTAATGCAATTAGCATAATGATAGACGACATATTAAGTAAATTAAATGTAAAGAAAAAAGTCGTAGGCCTCTTTCTGGATCTAACTTCGGCCTTTGATACTGTCGATCATGACGATGATGATAAGAGGACAAGAGTTAAAATTATTTAGGTCTTATCTGCAAAATCGACGACAATACGTAGAAATTAAGAATGTTGAAAATAATTGCGAAGTTACTTATTCATCTAAAATGACAACAGTAAAACGAGGCGTGCCACAAGGTTCAATTCTGGGACCTATTTTATTTGTTTTATTTATTAATGACTTAGCAGATTTCATCACACATTCTACTAATGATGCTAGTGTAGTTATGTTCGCAGATGACACAAATGCTATCGTTTCTGCTGAAAGTTTACATGAACTGACTGAGAAGACGAATCACTTACTTTCCATTTTCGATACTTGGTTTTCTGCGAATAATTAAATTATTTTTGTATAAATTTTTGTGGAGATATTATTGAAATGTGTACGTTTGATATATTTAAAATTTTTAAAACATATGATTGCTTATATAAAAAAAATTTTAAAAATACCTATTCTTTGTACCTCTGAAACCCATGTAACCCCTTAAGTATCCTTCGCTAAGACGACGGAGAGGAGAGCAGCAGACAGAGACAGGTACTGTCCCTATCATTAATGCTAGGGCAACCCAGCGGTGGAGAGGGGATGGGGATTGTTAGTAATGTGGACTAATGATCCCATTGCTAGCAATGTACCATGTCAGGTCGACCTCCACGCGGTTCCCTCTGTAAACCATTGTGATACATTCCCGGTGAATTTGTCACGTTGGGCTAACTGATCTGACTTCATGTTCATCCTATCATCCTCAGCGTTAGCGCAGGCGGGTGCACCATTACATTATCATTTATAAAAAACCCAGCGGTGGTGGTTGCTACAATATATCTATAGCAATCCATTATTACTTTCTGTATCTCTACATTTACTAAGACATTTTATTCTTACTTTTTTTTACTGCTTTCTATTACTTTGTTTAATTCTACTACTATTAGGATTTGTGAGATCACAAACATTCAGTTTCAGGTAACCACCACTAACGGAAGAGTTACAAATTTGAATTTAAATTGCTTTAGAATTTTTTACTAATAATATTTTTCTACCATTTTTCTACTTTTGAGATATAGGTTCAGATGAGGAGAATGGGCACTACTTATTTACTTCACTTACTGCAATTAAAAACCTCAGGCATAAAGATCTCGAAATGTAATTGTAAACATTTTTCATTGCTCCCCCGTACCGATACTCTTTTAAACAAATTTGAAAAGCATTGACAAATAAGTGCACAATAATGTTCTATATATATATATATATATATATAAGTATATATTAAATTACATAATTACCTGCTTCCAAAGTTGGACATTTGTCGGTGTGGAATGGTCTAATTTTTGCTTAAACCACCGTGCCGGTGGCAAAGGTTCTCCGTCATAACCACCGGGAGCACCAAGATTACCTCCATTTCCTCTACCTAAACGAAATCTTTTTGTACTGAGTACTGAATACGAGGCCTCAAATATTATGAATAACGTTAACAAATTAAACAACCGCATACTTATATATTTTTATAAAAACGGAAATATTGAAGTAATATTTCATAAGACAATTGACTAGACAAAATAATTGGAATAGTTCGATGGTTCGACTGGCTCGATCGATTTAGCTGAGACTTCGTTTTTTGAGGCACAGAGTAATTTAGATTTTTTAATGTACTTTTATACAGAGTCTATGGTTCACTAACAGTGTTGCTGTTTAGCAACACTGTTAGTGAACCATAGACTCTGTCCCACTGTCCCATTTTCCATTCATATGTTACTAAAATTCCTCTAATATACAATTTGATAAAAACTGACTTGTTTCCAACCCAGGCTCTAAGAAATAGCTTTATATAATACTATAATTTTATCCTACATGATAATTGATTGGAACTTTGAGTTTTTGCATGATATAGATGCATGAGGATAATTCAAAATTGTTTTCCCTGAATGCCATAAATCTCCCAAATTTCGAGCAATCTCAATCTAGCATCACTGGTAACTAGTAGTCTGTGCCACCATAGACAAAAGTCAGGTGATGGCGAATGTCATAATTGACATAAAGTCATCGAAATACTGACAGTTTTGACATTTTGAAAAAGTGTTGTAATAGCTATTTTATCTTGTCTCAGATAAATCAATCACAAAATGAATGAATGAAATATTAAATGATTTAAAAATATTTTTCACTACGAAGTTTTAAGACTGCTGTCGTCAAAAAATATGGTTGTATATATGGTCCATTTCGAAAGAAATCAATTGTGACAGAAGTTTACATGAATTTATTTATCTATTCATTTGCATTTGTTATTGTTACGATAAGGGTTGATATAATGTTATGCGATGAAAGACAGTGAAGAGATTCTACAGACTGATAAAATATTAAATTATAAATAAACAAGTTACACCATACGCCATTTATACTATATGAATAACTTTGATATTAAAATTTCTGCTTCTAATCTATTTATGGGATACAATATAGGTATATTATAGGCGTTCTCAGAGGTTGTGTGATTTGACCCATGACGGATCTTAGAGGTAGTTACATATTTTACTTCGCATGTCTTAGTTCTAAATACTAAAGACAAAACATTATATGCATATATATATATATATAGTGGAAAAAATATTCTGATAAAGATCAAAAATTCTCCAGAAACAAATATCTATGTTTACTAGTTTAAATTTGTTTACATAAGTATATAAAGAATTTGATATATTAACTGTAAATATAATAAAGTTAATGTGTATTTTAAAATTGTACACGTTACACATTTATTAAAAATTGTACGAATTAGTACAATACAATCGTATCTCTTCTGTGCTTCTGAACATCACGTGCTTGCATTGATATGAGCATACAAGATTTCTGGTATCATTCATTATTCATTCACCTCTTCACGGTACTTTCATACTTGCCAACTCGATCGATTGCCGCGGTCGCGGAATTGTCGTGTGATACCTACTGTTAACTGTGGTAGTCCCGCTCCGTGGGTTCAGCTATGGCTCTATTCAGAATTTCATCAACGAAAGTATTGGAATTGCAGGTAAATGTCTTTAATTAAATACAGCTTATTTTATCATTATTAACTTAAAAATATTCTTGTTTTTCTAAAATTATTTTCTTTAAAAGTATTTGGAGGGTTACTTTTATAACCTTCGTTCGTAAACACATTTTGACTTCGAAGTTATGTAATATGAATAAAAACTATTTTAGGATAATTATAATTGTATTAACTTTTAGTGTTACATATATATTAGAAGTTATTAGGAACCGGTTTTATTTATATGTAGGTACAATTTTTTTTGAAACGACCTTTGGCTTCTGTGTCGCATCGCGTTGGCTTTACTTCGATTTTGTATAACTTAAAATGAGTAGTAGTAAATTAAAATGAGTTGCTTTTTGCGTAAAGTTTATCCTATAGTTTTATATTATAGTTATATTCTGGTCAACATGTACCTTTACAGTTTTCTAAGTTCATGATGTCGGTATGCAGGTTATGTATATATTGTGAAACTTGAGATTAGTATTATTTCGCTCTACAGATACTGAAAACTTAATGTATACTTTTGTTACCAACTCAAATTGAAGTTTGAATATCTAATCAATTTAGTTTGAATGCTATGGCTCTGGGTACTGAGTGCAAGAGTATTGATATAGTATATCATGTATAGTATGGACACAGTAATCCTTATTTATGAAAGTATTTGTGAGATATACATTTTTAAATAGAGAATGGATGTGTGGCATTTTATTTTAATTTCTACATTATAATAAGAGGTACTTATGAGAACAAGGTTTGATATGGTAGTTCTTTGTAGTTAACTTCCCTAGATTAGTGCTGAAGAAGTAAAACTCTAATCAAAGTTCACAATACCCCGTGGTCGACATAATACAGTGTAAGTTATAATGGAATGTAAATAGTTTGTTATGGATGAATTTCTGTGAAGTCAATTAAATTAAGTTTATTTGAATAAATGATTTTCTATTCTATTCTATTCAATTATTTTACTTTGAATTGTTGATCCTGAAAAATATCAAACTTGCAAAGAAAATTTAATTTTAATTTAGATAAGAATAAAAAAAATATTTTTATAACTGAATTAAAAAAAATCTTAAGTTCAATTAAAACATCTGTTTAACTTCATTGAAAATAGTAAGTAGTAAAATAGTAATAAGTAAAAAAATATAGGTAATAAAATAAATTAAACTGCACCTTATATTAAATTCTTGAAATTGGTGTTGACCAATTATTTGTTCTATACTATACCTATAAAGTATGTAATTAAAATACTACAAATTTATTCTTAATAAATATAGGTTAAATGTACATATATTTTTTAATGCAAACAGGTACTCGGTATTTAAAACTTTTTAGGTGTTTATTATAATATTTATTGCAATGGATGTGAAGCATATATCTAAACATCTATCTAAATTTACAATCAAAAACATAAATAATCAGTAATATTTGTATTATATTTGCAATACATTCTCTCTTTAGTATATAATTTTACAATGAAGACATTTAATTCTTATAGGCCTATTTTTATTATGTTAAAATACTTTTATATTTTAATAGTAAATTTACATTTAGTATTAACAATGTTTTTAATCGAAAAGATATATTTTTTTAAACATTGCCACAGACTAAACATACTATATTTAAATTAATTTTTAAGAATGAATTCAAATAATAAAGAATTGATTTAGATTTGTATGTGTAGGTTTATCTCCATATCCACTACAACTAATTGAAAACTGATAAAAGTTTAACGGAGGTGCAATGAAATATTGTGTAAATATTGAAAAATAAAATGAAACAACGCTAATCTGAAGCAAAAATTAAGAAAAGTATGAATGTTACGCGTCAGGGAATAATACCCCTCTACGAGGGGTGAATCGATATGATGGTTTTGACGATGGGGAGAAGCCGTTACTTCTTTTAAATTAATACCGGGTGAAAATACTACGCTTGGCTAGTGTTTTACGTGTGTTCGCATATGCGTACAAACTGTTTATGTATTAACGATGTGTGTGCACACGAAAGACCTTGCGTGAAAAATCTATGTCAATGTTATTCACGGTGGCAACCACGGGTGACAATAAATTATTAGTTTGCACCATTTTTGTTCCCGTGTCTTCCTTTGGTGGTACTTCTATCAACAGGGTTAAATTTAAATGTTAGTGTATGGCTATAATACTATAGTTATAATTTTTTAAAGTACATCAGATCAGACCCATTTGGTCTAAAAAATGGTAGCTCAGTGATATAAGCATCGTAAATAAATTAAATAGCAAACACGGATTACAAAATAATAATAGATATCCATTATATTTTCTAGTCTTGACGTAGTTGAAGTGTGCTGTTTAGCATTCACTTGGATGAGATTTTGGAATCTCATCGGATTAAGTGCTAATAAAGACTAATTTATCATCACACTGTCTCCCCATAAGGCGACTCTAGCGTATACTTCAAGTAAGTACGTTATATATAGTAGTAATTTATAAACTGATTGGATTTTATAAATTGCAATTAATTGAAAGTACATATCTGTAAGTTAAGGAATTTTGCGGTATAGACAAATGGGTGTATTGTACATATACTATATATATGTGATGAACAAAAATGGCAATTTTTTTATTCTCTGAATTGATGATTGCAATACTAACTCTGGTAGTTTCTTAAGTGTGCAAGTGACGCAAATGTCCCCATCGGAAACGGTGTCTACTTTAAACAATCTATCATTGACTCAGTATTATTCCGAAGTTCTTAAACTAATTGCGTACGTCATTAACCACCACGAGTTACATTCGCTACTTAGTTACCGTTTGGGTTTTTCATGCGTTGCAATCCTTTATTATTCATTCTTTGGTTTATATGAATATATACAGAGTATATATATATATCAATAATTTACAGTTAGATTTTTTTTTTAATTCATGGGTCAGGTATAAAAGTTAATCCTGACCATTGAATTAAAAAAAATGTATACTATAAATATTATTTATTTATATTAATAATATAAGACAAGTCTTAAGTCTTACAAGAAACAAACTACACTTGTCAATCTTAAACAGCAGTTTAGTATCAACAACTTTGTAGATATAACAATTTTATGATTTTCAAACTGTATCTGCGACTACGTACGCGTATTTGACGCCATCTATTAAACCTATACCACGCCTATTCTTATGTAATGAATATTACCATTAGTTAGCTGCTTTCTGAAATCCATAGACAGTAATCTTCTTGATGATGGCATTCTGCATGTCCTCTAGTGCGCTAAAGATAACGCAGGTCATATTCGGACATTTGGGCACACACCCAAATGTCGACATATTTTTGTGAATTAAAATATACTGTAGCCATTGCAGTTTAAATTTATTACTGTGTATTGTTATGTGCGTATGTATATTGTATGTAGGCCAAGTAATCGAAGTCTCGTTTTCGTAATTTCATTAGTATTCTTGTTTTGTTGCTCTTACATTTACGTTGTTTCTTCACTGTTTTATTAACTTAAACCTACCTAATTTTATATTTAACTTATCTATGGTTCTGCGCTCTTTGTTCTAACTCCACCATGACATATCTTATTCAGGTCCTATTCACAACAACTAGAATATACCTATATGTATCTGTAGGAACCTATGTCATATAATTATGTGTAATCAACCCGTATTCTGATTTATTATTTACGCTATCGACTGCCTTTATGGTTAACAAGTTGTTTTGTATTCAAGGCTATGATCATGAAATAGGGCTTCTAATTGATACTGGGAGTTAGTGACGTCCAAAATAAAAGCCTTTATAAGGCTTTATTAGATTCTCATATTCAATCAAATCTAAATGTAAATGACCGCTCTTTAAACCAACTTCAAATTGGCATTAGAACCGAAGTTGCTGTTTTTCCGATCTTTCGGATCTAGATTCATGAAATAAAGAATAATTTCCCCAATAACACAACTATTTTATTTCATAGTTTTATTTTAATTTTAATAGTAATACTTTTTCTAGTAAAGTTCTATTCAGATCAATTGAACTCATACTTTTTTTTTACTGTACAACTGTTGATAGCATTTTCTTTTTAATTATTTTTCGAAATTGTACTTTGAAACTTGTTGATCCGTTTAGATGATTTGATAAACTATAAATGATATAAAATTAAACTTTTGTTATAACTGTTATTGATGATCAGCTGTATTTTTACAGAGAGATTGCAGTTATTTTACAAAGCCTTCACAGATATTACGTTTGGCACATATTTATCTATTCATATGTCATAACAGATAGGTGAGATACGTTGGAACCAAAGTTCACAATTACATGTCCTCTTGGACAAAGAATGTTACTATTAAGTAGTTATATCTAATACTTTTGAACACAATTGATTATGAATATCTTACAATAAAAATAATGATAAAGCGATTTATTCTTAGATAAATTGTCAAATGAACACGTGATTTCAGGAGTACGAAATATGATGTATCAATAGTGTTATTTGGTTTGTCCACATTGAACCGAACCCTCCGAGGACATTTGCTATTTCCTGGCATTGACGTCATCCCGGTTTCAAATATTGTCACCCTTATCTCTTGAAATTTGAGAAAGATACCGCTATTTATTTAAGACATTGAAAAAGCATATTACTCGTATTTTAATGTTATCATGTAGTACTTATGTAGCTGTCTATAATTATGTAGTCTGTTTGCTATCTTATCAAACATTACTAGATGAAACGATGATTTCTATTAAGGTGTAGGAAGTCAAAGGATCATGGTAGTTGGGCACTATTGCTTTTTTACTTGCAGTGAGAGGGCTATGCTATATCAAGCAATGAGCAACTAAGAGCTGATATATTAAAGAAGTATTGTGATTATAGACTATGGTAATTTGTGCGTTAAACACTAGGAAGGACCCACGTAGAGATAGCAAAAAGTGTATACTCTTAAAAATCACGTGCCATTTTGTTCGTTACGCAACTGATATGGGAGGTTATTCGTATATTGTTAACAGCAATAGTATTTTTTGCCGGATTTTGCCTT